CCTCCTCGTCCCCACACTGGGCCTACCGCAACCAGGAGTTACTGCCCGCTCCTCGTCCCCACACTGGGCCTACCGCAACCAGGAGTTACCGCCCTCTCCTCATCCCCACACTGGCCCTACCACAACCAGGAGTTACTGCCCCCTCCTCATCCCTACACTGGGCCTACTGCAACGAGGAGTTACCACCCCGTCCCCATCCCCACACTGGGCCTACTGCAACCAGGAGTTATCACCCCCTCCTCGTCCCCACACTGGGTCCACCACAACCGGGAGTCCCCAGCTCCACCACCACCGCCGATAGGAAGAAGACGAAGAAAAAGAAGAAAAAGCAAAAAGACTAAAAAGGTCAGGAAGGAAGGGAGGAAGTGGCCCAAGAGTCTGGGATATGGGGCCAATCAAATCACTACTTTATCCTGGATGGCATCAAGCTTCTTGAGTGTTGTTGGAGCTCATTCAGGCAATTGGGGATTATTCCATCACACTCCTGACTTGTGTCATGGAGATGATGGACAGACTATGAGGAGTCTACGTGCTATGGTCTATCTTTAATTATTTGTTTCATTCATTCCTATAATGGACTAGGAATTCAGTCTTCCTACAACTTTATCCTCTATATTCCTTCCTTCCATTACCCACCCATTAATGTCATGTCTTTACCTGCCTGGATCCTAAACTTGGAGAATTTCCATCCTAAACAGCTGTGTACACCAACTCCTTCTCCTTTCTTAAAACTTGCCACCTCATCAAACTTTTGATCACCAAACCTAATGGCTCCTTCCTTGGCTTCTTGTTGAATTTTATTGCCTGATTACACTCATGTGTTTTACAGGATTGATATGTTATATAAATGCAAGTTGTTGTTGGTGTTGGTAACATTCCATGAACCTCACCAGCCAGCGAGTGCCCGACACAAGTGAGCCGTCCTCCTGTGTGAGCCAGAGGGTGAACTCCCCATGGACTGCATTAAGACGGAGCCCAGTCTCACCCTCACCCAATGTCCCCCACACACATGGGACTTCCAGGATGGGTCACAGACAATGGTGATGAGCTGGAACACCGAGCTGATGTTCCTGTTCTTTAGCCTGGGGCCACTGAAGCAACTGCTGGGCTCTAGTGGCCCTTCCATTGAGAGCAGCAGGTAAAGACCAGGCTTTTTCACAAAGAACATCTCATCAGCTGATAAAGGCACTGAGCTTGAAACTGATAGGAAGCAATGCAATTTCATCGCTATTTTATACAGGAGACATTAGGATCAATAAATGTGAACGTTCTCAACATAAACTCACCGCTACGGCAAGACTGACTGCATCCAAACTCAATTTTACCTAAATGTCCACAGAATGCAGAGCTGACAATATTTATGAGAATTACCATCAGCTGTGACAAAAACTGTGAAAAGAAAATGATTGAGAAATAAAATATACTGTCAACTTAATTTTGGTCAAATTCTTTTATATGTAAAAACACTTCTAATAAAATTGACATTATTCCTAGTCAAACATATTGCCATTTTTTTCCCTTTCTCAAAGAGCGTCATAATTTTCTGATGTTTTAGTTGATGCTTTTTTGAGATTATGAAGGGGCACTGCAAAGTTGATCCAAACAAAACATTCAATGAATTAGAGGGTTCAACTATTATGATAAAAGTCATGTTGAGGTTGTACAGGACATTGTTGAGGCCTCTCCTGGCATACTGTGTCGCATTCTGGTCACACTGTTATAGGAAGGATATCATTATTAGGGTGGCATGGTGGCTCAGTGGTTAGCACTTCTATCTCACAGCACCAGGGTTCGACCCTCAGGCGACTGTCTGTGTGGAGTTTGCACATTCTCCCTGTGTCTGTGTGGGTTCCCTCCGGGTGCTCTGGTTTCCTTCCACAGTCCAAACATGTGCAGGCTAGGTGGATTGGCCATGCTAAATTACCCATAATGTTCAGGGATATGTAGATTAGGTGGGTTCCATAGGGATGGGTCTGGATGGGATGCTCTGAGAGTCACTGTGGGCTTGTTGGGCCAAAGGGTTTGTTTCCACATTGTAGGGATGCTATGGACTATTCTATTAAACTGGAGAGGGTTTTGAAGAGATTTACTAGGATGTGGAAGGTTTGAGTTATAAAGAAAGGTTGGATAGCCTTTTTACTTTACCGTAAGAGGTTGAGACATGACCTTACAGAAGTTTAAAGGATCATGAGGAGTATAGACATGGTTAATGGTAGGTGTCTTTTCCCTAGGACAGGGGATTTCAAAACTAGGGGGCACATTTTAAAGTTGAGAGGAGTGTGATTTAAAAAAGACATGAGGGACAATTTTTTTTTTACGCAGAGAGTGATTCACGTGTGGAATGAACTTCTGAGGAAATTCTGGATGCTGACATAGCTACAACATTCTGAGGAAGGGTCACTGGACCCGAACAGTTAATTCTGATTTTTCTACACAGATGCTGTCAGACCGGCTGAGCTTTTCCAGCAACTCCTGTTTTCGCATCTGGTTCACTAATGCCCTTCAGGGAAGGAAACTGCTATGTTTACCTGGTCTGGCCTACATGTGACTCCAGGCCCACAGCAATGTGGTTGACTCCTGATAAGGGATGGGCAATAAATGCTGGCCCAACCAACAATGCCCTTATCCTGTGAATGATTGTTTGCCAACCACCAGTGACATCTTGTTTTGGATCTTTATACCAATTGCCTCCAATCTATTCTTTTCAGACCCCTTCAGATTTTTAATGTCCCTATCAAAACTCCCCTCAATCCAGTGAGAAGTGGACCTAGCTGCGTAACCCAATGTGATCGAGTACAAGCTGGGTGTGATCTCACCACTGGCCCAGCCATTCTGGAAATACACTTTGCTTCCCGCCAAAAGTTGACAGGTTTCACTTCCAAGACCTTCCTCAGGAATAGCTTAACACAGGTTTCAGGTTCCAAGGCAGCATTTCCAGAGCTTTGATGCATTCTATTCTCCATTTTTCAGATCCTCCGCTGCAAACAATAAACAAACCAATACTTTGTGATTAACTTTTCATGAAGTTTAGTTCATAGCTGTAGCAAGTTTAAATTCAGGGCTCAGTTCTTTTTTTTGTGGAATTTCCATGTTTAAGGAACTGCAGTTTAATTTGCTTGTACCCAAATAACATGGCACAGATAATAGTGTCAAAGAAAGATTTGCATTTGTATAGCATTGGAGGTCAATTATCTCAGCCCCAGTTATCCCTGAGACCAAATACTTCCAAATCAACTGGTTCCCAGATGGTATTACACATCTCTGGAGCAAATGGGATTTGAACTGAGGCCTCCTGACTCAGAGGCAGGGACACTGCCACTGCTTCAAGAGCCCCAAACGTACTCAGGTTTATTATTACTTTCCCCATCAGCCTGTTCAAAGATGCCATGACACAACTCTGGAGCAGACAGAACTTGAACCTGGGCCCACTGATTGAGAGATAGGGACACTACAATTGTACCACCAGAGTCTCAAAGTTCCTCAGGGCAGTATCTGAGGCCTAACCAGCTTCAACTGCTTCAATGAGAATCCCTCCAATATAAGGTCAGAAGGTCAGGAGTTTCACTGCAAATTGCGCAGTGTTAAAGTAAAGCAGTCCATGTCCATATGAACGAAGATCTGCATAATAGTTAGGCTTGGGCTGATCAATAACTCAAACCAGGTGTCTCACCAACAAGAGAGAATTGAACCATCTCCATCTTGACACTCAACAGAATTACACTCAGTCGTCCACCATCAACATCCTGGAACAGGGACAAGATGCGAGCAAGACACTGTTTTATCATGAGTTTAGGTTCTAACTCTGTTTAGTCTCCCAAAGTATTGCTGGTGGAGCTCATGGAATGTTCTGGAAGAACACTTTATTCACGGCTTTAACTGTACGTACAAAAACCCAGATCTTCCGATGGGAAAACAGTCTTTGCAGTAGTGTCGACTGCACTCGTGTGTAAAGACCAGCTGGAAATCCAGAAGCAATTGATTGCCCAGGAATTGTCCTGGAAATTGAAACTTCCAATGGTCAATTATCCTGGCTTTGGAACCTTCTGGGAAAAACCCCAGCTCCGAGGTAGCATTGGAAATGTTTAAGGGTCCAGATTGTGTCAATAGTGACCCAGAAATGGTTAGAGGAATTAGAAGCGGTTCTACTCCTGGATAATTCCCCCGACTCACCAATGACGCCCCCACCCCATCACATCATGCCCCTCACACCAGCTCAGTCCCCTGACATCTACTTCCTGGAGCCAACACTGTATACCACAACACCCGACCTGACCCCCAACACTACCCCTCAAACCCCGCACTAGACCCGACGGTCCCCCTCTGCTGGACCTGACCTGACCCCCAACCCCGCCCCCCCATCTCCCTCAGATCCAACAACACTCCTTGATCCATAACAACCTCCACAAATCTTATCCAACATGACGCCTGTGTCTCCCAACACCTGCCCAGACCAGACAATCTCCAGCCCCTACCCAACCCAACACCCCACCCCAACCAACCCTTTTCCCATCCCTCATAAACACAATCCTCACCTCAAACCAACCCAACCATACTCTACTCCTCATTCCTCTGATCAGATCCACCCACCAACGCCCAACTACCATCCACACATCCTACCCTGGGCACCTACCCCCTTAGTTGCTACATTACCCTCTCACTCACCTGCCACCCTAGCCCTTTACCTGCTCAGCCACTCAACCCCTCATGCATTTACCACCCTAGTTCCTCGTCTATCTGGTACCCCAGCCCCTCACCCAACTGCCACCCTAACCAACACTCAGTTGCCATCCTAAATCCTCGCCCACCTGCTAAAGCTGACAACTCAACCTTCCACCCATTTGCCATCCTGCACCTTCAACCACCTGCTGCCTCACCTCACCCATCACTGGCACTCTAACCCCTCACCCACCGGGCAAATTACTTTTCTTGGGCTCTGCTAACAATTTGATTTTCGCAGTCCCCCTGCATTTTGAAGTCCCCCACAATTATTGTAATAGTACCTTTCTTACAAATCTTTTCTATCTCCTGATTTATTTTCTTCCCCACATCCTGACTACAGCTGGGGGGCCTGTCATAATTCCCATCAGGGTCCTTTTGCCTTTCCTGATCCTCAACTCTACCCAAACAGATCCTATGCTTTCTCAATCCATAATGCTTTTCTTGCTATTGATTCAATTTCATTTCTTACTAACAAGGCAACCCCACCCCCTCTGCCAATCTGCCTGCCCTTTCGATAAGACACATATCCTTGGATATTTAGGATATCTCTGATCCCCTTGCAGCCACGTCTCTGTGATACCCACAACATCGTACCGGCTAATTTCAAACTGCACTACAACTTTATTTACCTTGTTTTGTACACTGCATGCATTTAAGTACCACACCCTCAGTCCAGCATTAACTGCCCTCCACCTCATAGTTGTCTCTTATCTGCTGCGTCTGAAGTTAGGTTCCTGACCGTTTCCACACTCTCCATCCTATTACTGTTTAGGAAACATTAATATTCACTTCTCAGTCCTCTCTCTCTTTAACTTTTTCCTTAATTTTCCATGCAACTGAACCCACCCTCCCACTAGTTAGTCCAGTTTGACTTTTCTTCATTTGAGAAGATAGCTTCATTTGAGGAGACACCTACCCCGAACAGTCACCCAGAAAACTGCCCTATAGTAGATAGTATTTATGATTATTTGGAAAAGCACAGTTTGATTAGAAATAGTCAACGTGGCTTTGTGAGGGGCAGGTCATGCCTCACAAGCCTTATTGAATTCTTTCTGGATGTGACAAAACACATTGATGAAGGTAGAGCAATGGATGTGGTATATATGGATTTTAGCAAGTCATTTGATAAGGTTCCCCATGGTAGGCTCATTCAAAATGTAAGGAGGCATGGGATTCAGGGAAATTTAGCTGACTGGATACAGAATTAGCTATCCAATAATAGACAGAGGGTGGTAGTAGATGGAAAGTATTCAGCCTGGAGCTCGCTGACCAGTGGTGTTCCGCAGGGATCTGTTCTGGGACTCCTGCTCTTTGTGATCTTTATAAATGACTTTGATGAGGAAGTGGAAGGGTGGGTTAGTAAGTTTGTCGATGACACGAAGGTTGGTGGAGTTGTGGACAGTGTGGAGGGCTGTTGTAGGTTGTAACGGGACATTGACAGGATGCAGAGCTGGGCAAAGAAGTGGCAGATGGAATTCAACCCAGAAAAGTGTGAAGAGATTCATTTTGGAAGGTCGAATTTGAATGCAGAATACAGGGTTAATGGCAGGATTCTTGGCAGTGTAGAGGAACAGAGGGATCTTGGGATCCACATCCAGAGATCCCTCAAAGTTGCTACCCAAGTTGATAGGTTTGTTACAAAGACGTATGGTGTGTTGGCTTTCATCGGCAGGGGAATTGAGTTTAAGAGCTGTGAGGTTATGCTGCAGCTCTATACAACTCTGGTTAGACCACACTTGGAATATTATGTTCAGTTCTGGTTGCCTCATTATAGGAAGGATGTGGAAGCTTTAGAGAGGGTACAGAGGAGATTCACCAGGATGCTGCCTGGAATGGAGAGCAGGTCTTATGAGGAAAGGTTGAGGGAGCTAGGACTTTTCTCATTGGAGCAAAGAAGGATGAGAGGTGACTTGACAGAGGTATACAAGATGATGAGAGGCATAGATAGAGTGGATAGCCAGAAACTTTTTCCCAGGGCGGAAATGACTATTACGAAGGGGTATAATTTTAAGGTGATTGGTGGAAGGCATAGGGGAGATGTCAGAGGTAGGTTCTTCACACAGAGAGTGGTGGGTGCATGGAATGTGCTGCCGGCGGTGGTAGTGGAGTCAGATACATTAGGGACATTTAAGCGACTCTTGGGTAGGCACACGGAGGATAGTAAAATGTAGGGTATGCAGGGTAGTTTGATCTTAAAGTAGGATAATAGGTAGGCACAACATGTACTGAGTTGTACTGTTCTATGTTCTATGCTCCTGTCCAATCAGGATCGGAAATGATCAGAATAGGAAAATAGGGTTTCTGATCCTGGTCAGGAGATCTGGGCCATTCTCTTCTCACTAGGTTAAAGCTTCTTCTCACTCCCAGCTCATTTGACTTGATGGCGTAATTCTGACATGATCACTGCCTCATTGTTGCGTATTCTTCTGATGTTGATGCAAGCCTAGTAATTTACATCCAGAGACTGAAATTCTGTTACAGGTAACTAACCTCCTGACTCCCCAAACAGTGTTGATCATCTACAAGGCACAAGTGAGGAATGCAATGGAATAATCTCCATCTATTGTAGCACTCAAGAAGCTCACTCACTAGCAATATAAAGCAGCCATCTTGAATAGCACTCTTCCATGACCTTAACCATTCTCTTCATTTGTGGAGGTGATGGCCCAGTGATATCACCACTCAAATATTAATCCAGAGACCCAGGTAATGTTCTGGAGACCCAGGTTCAAACCCGCTGCAGCGGATGGTGGAATTTGAATTCAATAAAAATTTGGAATCCAATGATGACATTGTTGCTTGTCAGAAAGATCCCACCACTATATCCTTTTTGGAGAGAAATTTCTTTACCTGGTCTGGTCTACACGTGACTCCAGACTCACAGTAATGTTAGTTTGAACTGCCCTCTGAGCAATAAAGAATAGGTAATTAATACTGGCTTAGCCAATGACACCCACCTTCTGGGAATAAATAAAAACTCCAATTCTGATCCACTGTAGCAAGTAGAGCTTACCGTATGCAAGATGCACTGCAGTAACCCGCAGAGTCTCCTGAAATGACAAATTCCAAATACAAACTCTACCCCCTGGAAGACAAAGGTTGCAGATTCTTGCGACCATCATAATCTGCAAATTTCCCTCCAGCCTAAACATCACGGTGACTTAGAATTATGTCACCATTCCTTCACTGCCACTGAATCAAAGGCCTAGAACTCCCTTCCAAACTGCATTCATGTTGTGGACCA